AAGTTCAAGTTTATTTTGGAATAATATTGTATCCTGTCTGTTTAGATTCATATTTATGTTAAAAAAACATTTAGTTTTAGTCTGTTCAATAAATGTTTATCCTGTTCAGCCCACAACCTAAAGTGTGCTTTGAGTTTTGGCCCCCTGTGCGATTGAGTTTGACACCCCTGGTCTAGGCAGTCGGCTGTCAACAACAATAAGAGTGCTTCATTTGAAAACACTGAAAAGTTGCTTTGTGGTTCACTATAACTTTGTTTATTATTAAACTGCGTTTTAAGTATTTTGTGGTAGCTCGTCAAGAGTTGTATAATCTTCATTTTCCATAGTGTGGTCCACCAAGGATGTTAGACTTTACACTGTATGATTTATGGGTCTCTGCAGTGACATTTTGACATGAATGCTTCCTACATTTGACTGGATGTGCACACTGCTCCCTGTGGAATCAGCGATAAATTAGAAAAATGTGGCAGCTGTTTCAGAGAGCTCTTCAAAATTTCCTGCCAAAACCAGTTTATAAATAAAATAATAATATAAAGGGAGAAGTTAACCATGTAGTTGCTGATCATGCTTCATATTCTCAATCTAGACCAAAGAGCTGAGGACAAAGTTCTTGTTTGAGGTCTTCAGAAGTAACAATTCTGGAATAGTTTGTTTCAGAGGTGGTAAATCATCTCCATTTACGAGTTGTAGTCTGGCCAACTCAACAGGGTAGTCACTGAAATATTTTTTTTTTAATATAGACAGCTCTGCAACAACAAAGGCTATTATATTCAACACACTAGTACCCACTACAACAACTTCAGTCTGGGTGACTACATGTTACCAGAACAACTGGATGGCAGAATGACAGCAAAGCAAAAACAACACCTACTTGTAAGTCCAGGCACCTCCAGCCACGGTCTTCTTGCAGGATCCACAGTGCCAGATACCAACAGCCCTCCTCTTCATCTTGGTCTGTCAAGTAGAAATGTTAGCATGTTAGTAACCGTTTCAAAAGAGTATCTTGTCAATCTACCCAAGTACGACGTCCCAACATCAAGACTATTAGGGTACATTCTTTAACTGGCATCTGCTGGAGTATGTATTTCTAATGTGAACACTGCTTTCTGCATAACCTCATGAATTAATTCCATTAGATAATCTCGAGATCAGCCCCTACCTTGCCACAGAAAGAGCAGGTGTATTTAGCATGCTGGGAGATTTCAATTTTCTTCACCATCTTCCTCAGCGACGCGCCGTAGCGCGTGCCATATTTACCAACGATCCCCACCTTCTTGGTGCGCTTGGCCTGCGAATGACAAACACAGAAAGATTCAGTGATACGAAAAACAACATTAATGCAGGAGAACAAACACCAGTAATCGCTTCTGATATAATGGGTTAATACTACAGACACCATTGTCATTTAAAACTGCAACAGAAGTTGCTACAGGATCAGCGTGTGCAGCACTCTTTCAGAATATCCAACACGTTTACATAAGCCCCTTATACAGAACCAATGTGTTTCTGAAGATATGATTTTGACTGCGAATGTACAGAGGAACAAATCAGTGCGAGTATTTCATACATTTTTTTTAATGTCAGTAAGCAGCAAAAACGCAGATACACGTTGAATGAGCTTCTCTCACCAGTTGTGTAATGGGCTAACGTATCCTACACAGACGTCCTCGAAACAAGCTAGCCACCTAGCTAACTTTCATCAAGTTAATAACCATGGTCAAGGTCTTGAGACGACAAACTCCTTTGAGAAACACAGCATGACACTTCCCTTCACGTAAAAACCGTAGACCCTCTAATCAATCAAGGGATTTAAGATTTAGGAACCAAGAGCAAGCTCATGTAACCAGCCCGCCCGGTACTTGTGCTCAGTTGAGCACAGCAATGGTGTCAGCCATTTCTGCTTACATAGGACATGAAAACATCGTTTCACTGATACTACAATCTCAATAACAACACAAATATATCTCATATCTAACAAACGAGAACTCTGAAGAGCATCTGAATGTGTGATTATATCACTTATACCACAGAAAATGTTAGATTGACATGGATTGGGAAGGGACCAATCTAAGCTCACCATCTTTTCAGTGGAGATGTAGGTCCAAAGAGAAAATATTTAACGCGCAGGCGCAATTTACCCTGTCGATTACGATGCATCCTGGGACTTTGAGTTTTTGTAAAATGCAGAAATTGTACATTAAAATAAAACTCCACTTAAAAATCGACAGTATAATATTATTTTATGTGTGTGTCTTTCTACTATACCGAATTAACAAAAATAAAAATGTATGATATACATAAAATTAAAAAGGAAGTCAGTAACTAAGGACGCTATAGTAGTTATGCGCATGCGTGTTTTTGTGAGGACGCCGACATCCTTGCTGCTGAGTTGAAATGTTTGTTTGTCATTTTAGATTTTGACAATGCGGTCGTTGTTTTTTACAAATATATAACGTTAGTGCATGAAAACAAAAATACCCTTTCTTATTGACTAAGTTAAGTGATATGCTATGAGGCTAACACGGAAACTGGTTCTCGCTAAGGCGAAGGCCTCCGACTTGGAAAGCGTGAAGAAACTGAATTGCTGGTAAGTGTTAGTCAATTTTGTCATACTCATTTAGTTGTTTTGTAGTTTACATGCTGATGCTCGATGGTGGTGCAGCTTGTTTGGCATATCTTGTATTTGTGGTAACGTTACATTACATTTTTCCAGGGGATGCAACCTAACTGATGTGAGTAGTCAAACAGTTAATGAATATAATATGTTTTGTCACTTGAATTCACTATTAAACTTACTTGGTTATAATTAAAATTCTTAATTTCCAGGTATATGCACGTATGTATGTTATAATTGTTCCCTTTTACTCTGTGTGTCCAGATTTCTATCTTCTCTCAAATGCCCAACATTAAGGTGCTGACTCTGAGGTCAGTCTGTTTAATTCTTTGCTGTCTCTCAGACACACATATACAGCCATGGCACTGTTAACACTGAGTTGATGCGTTTAGACTGGCACTGAATAATTTGGGATGAATAATGAATCCTGGCTATGATGCTCTTCCTTAGTGTCAACAGTATCTCATCTCTGGCACCTCTGGCTGGCTGTCTGTCACTATGTGAGCTCTACCTGAGGAGGAACATGATTCCCTCGCTCTCTGAGCTTTCTCATCTGCGTCCGTTGACCCGTCTCAGAGTGCTCTGGTTGGCTGAGAACCCCTGCTGTGGATCTGATTACAGCCAGTATCGGCTCACTGTACTGCGATGTCTGCCTCGCCTCCAGAAGCTTGACAACCAGGGTGAGTGTGCAATGTCTCTGTCACACTCCCCAGTTTGAACAGAAGCTTTCTTAGTGACTGTGCTGTATTTAAGATGGTTTGGCTAAAACACACTTGAAGAGACTGGAATTTACTGTTGTAAAGCACATGTCCATGTTGTCAAAGCAGTCTCAACTAAAGGTCCATTTTGTAGCTGTTCTGGAGTCTTTAGCTCGTACCTGTACCATGTTTTTGTGTGTGCAGTAGTGACTGAGGATGAGATTGCACTAGCTCTCATGGAGGGCGAAGAGGTCACCACCCCACCGGGCAGTGTCCAAAACCAGCTTTCTACCAATGGACTTCCAGAGGCAGAGACAGAGAATGACCTACTCAACTACAACATGGAGGAGACCAAGTAAACCTTAGGCACAGACACCAGTGCTCACAGACTTAGAACATGCCTTGGCTGAAAATAATCTGTCAAACTAATGTAGACATATTGTAATATTCATCCAACTTGATTTGTTTTTAGTAAAATCAGAGAAGAATTGGGTATGAAGCCCCTGTCCAGAGACAAGTTCCCCAGTTTTTCATCTCCACCGACCAGAGAAACCAAACTATCTATGATAAAGGTAACCTCTCATCTCTAACCAAAAGGATTTCCAGTGTTCTGCTCATATCAGTCCTGAACTGATCACTTTGACTTTATTTTCAGACGCACACTCTCGATGCGGTTTTGCTGCTTCTGAAGGATCTGGATGAAGAGGAGCTTCGCATTGTACAAACAGCTACACAGAACAGACTCAAGACTTACACACTGGACTCAGAAATACAAATGGGTGATGGAACAATGTCATCATCCATCACTGATGGCTGAGTCGCCATCGTAATTTAACCCCCCTGAACAGCTGTACATCTCTCTGTAACACCACTGAATAATTACAGTGAGCCACGTGCTTGTCTGTAGTTCCAAAAGCTCCAACAGAGTGAGACATCTTCACAAACCAAACTATCAGATGATCTCACATCAGTGACGGAAATGTAGCACATTGTGTGAGATGGTGTACAGGCAATGGTCATGAAGATTCATTGTCATCTTTTACATTATATATATATATATATACACTGTGCACTTTTGTTAGCATTTTGTTTTGTTTTAACTCAAAGTACTGCCAAATGGGCAAAGGGATACTTTTAGCTGCGCTCAATTTCACAGAGCCTTTTCCTTTCTGTGGCAAAGTTTGGACATGTGTATTGAGCACTTACTGTATGGTTATTGGCTTTCTTTTTTTATAGCAGCATGACTACCTGCCTTGTAAAAGCAAAGAATGTATGTTTTGCTAAATGTTAAATCTATTTCTGTAATTAAAGCAAATAAATTGCAACACATTAAGTATGCGATTTTAATTACATAGCTGTTAGATGAAAATGTACAATACACTCAAACAGTGTGAATGTCACAGTGCTACAAAAGGGTTTTAGGACAAGACAAAACCTTTCATCAATAATTTGGTCTATTATTTTAAACTGTGCACAGCCACTATAAGCTGGGTTCATGTCTGAAGTTAATCAGATGTCTCATGAATTCTATTTAACTGAAGTCTAAAGCCTTATGTCCTCAGTCAACCTCCTCATTCTCCAGGAAATCCATCAGTGTTCTGGCATCCACAGCAACAGTCAGGTACTCCACTCCATCAGCACCCTGGAGAATCATGGGGAAAATGTAAGTCAGAGACACTAGAGTCTGCACAGAGTTATGGCACTGAATAAATATTGAGACTTCTACAACTGAAAAGATTTCTACTTTGCGTGTCCTTATCAGTTTGTGGTCTTTGAACTCAGTCAGCTGAGTCCTCAGTGTGAGGTCAGAGTTCACCAAGAACGCCTCTCGACATCGCTGGTAGAAATCTTGGAATGACAATCCTGCACACAGTGATAAATAAACAGTACAATCCTACAGCAATACAATCAGATTTTAGTACTAAAATCTGTGCAGCATAAAGTCCTGAAGGTGTGCGCACCTGTATATGAAGGATTGTCTTTATTTTCCAGCTGAAATTTCACCAGCAGTTTGAAAATTCCTCTGAAAAAAGAAAAGACACAGCCATGAAGAACTCAAGCAATTCAGGGACCATTTAACAGCTGATTATATCACTGTGTACATATGTGGTACCTTGCATTGGGTGTCAAGCTGCGGAGCACATGTGTCAGGGAGGACAGAGCGAGAGCACCCGTTTGCTGTACCAGGAGTGAGTTTTCATATGATGTCTCCTCTGCATAGTGCTGGAATGTCACACACTCCCACCACAGCCAGTTAAACTGGCTCAGCTTAAACTGGTCCCACACTGGGAACACACAGGAGAGATTCAGCTTCAAGGATAAATTTCAAAACAATCAACATTACAGTTCATACATTGCTTACAAACACCCACCCAATGGCGCATTGATGTGGTCTAAAGAAGCCACCAAGTGCAGGCTGGGAAGGGATGCCAGCTGCCCCAGTGCACTCTGGGTCTTCTCTCCTCGCAGCATTGGTCCATCAATATTATGGATTAGCAGGTACACATGGAGATCTGGTCCTGAAAAGACACAGCTAATTTTGAAGCACTGATGTCAAACATGAGTTTAAGAGGGGGAGAATTCACAGACACACTCACTGTCTTTGAGCGTCTGAGTGATGAACTGGATCTGGTCTGAGGGTGTCCGGAAACTTCCCTGGTGCTCCAGAACCTCACATGTCAGAGCATTTAAGATCTGAAATGAAACCATATATAGTGAAAACAAACTGTATAAAGAAATCCTAACTTTATCAATTAAAGTTGCAGTGTTTCTTATTTAAAATTTCAACTAGTAGGGGAGTGTTATTTTGACTTTGGTTCCAGTTTTGTTATTGATAAATCCATGTCTGTACTGACCGATTTAAGAGTGATGGAAGGGAAGAATCCATTGACCACGAGGTGGATTTCTTGAGACAAGTGAGTCACACGGAAGTCCTCCAGAAGAGCTTTTTTGCTGCCCAAACCATACACTAGCACACTGAAGCCCAACCTAAACACAGATGTTTTCAGTCTTGCACCAGTTTTAACATGCAAATGCCACAAAGCTACAAAACACATTTCAATAACCAAAAGTAAAAACCACACTCACTGTAGCTGTAGCATCCATTTGCTGAAGTGTGTTCGGTGGTTGTTGTGGAGCTGCTGGATCTCTTTTGAGTAACAGGATGGCTTTCCTTCTAAAAGCCGGACCAGTGTCTCCTGCAAACACAATAATAAGGATAAACCTTACTACAATATGTTGAGAGAGTAGCAAGTGCAATATATTTTGACCACTGTTATATACCGACCCTGTCGAGTTTGGGGGTGTGTAAACGCTCAAGGGTGCGGTCTGATGTCAAGACCTTTGAACTGCCATGGGCCTCGAAATACTCCTCAACCATACTGGGCTGGTTGACGGGTTCAGAAGTGTTCTTGCTCTTCTTGGCAGAAGTCTTGTAGAGAGCTGCAGATAAACCTCTACTGGGTGTTCTGGGAGTCTTCAAGTTTTCCTTGTCTTCTTTCTTTAGTTTCTGCTCTTCCTCCATAACATCTTCATCCTCCTCCTCCCCAGAGTCTGAGGGCGAAAGCTCACTGTCGCTGTCTGACCGCAGGCTCGGAGCTGAAATCAGCAGGCAGCTTTAGGTCATAGCTGATGTCTGATTTTACATATATTACCTACTGTAACATGCACAGTAAGTACTCTGATCATTGCATGCTAAACTCACTTGTCATTCTCTTCCTGAGCCTGTGTGGTGTTGTGGAGACAAACTGCACCTTTTTGCTCTGTCATATAAAAAGCAGAGGTAACATTTACTGTAGATAAGTAACATCTCTAATGCATGCTACAGCAAAGCCACCAAGCCAGATCTACAAAAAAAAAAAAAAAGTCAACAATTTTTTTTGTCTCACTCTCTGTGGTGTCCTACTTTCTCCTCTGAGGTCTAGATAGAGAGGAAGAGGGAGACAAAAACTAGAATTAAATGTATGACAACAGACATGGGATATGACAGACACAACAAGGCAGAGAGGGTGTGTTGTACTCACTGCGGCCTGTTCGGGTAGGAGTGGAGGGTTCAGCGTTGGGGGTCATGCTGGACGT